TTAGTGTACCCAACCTCATTTAAGTCTTATCCGTAAAAGAGTTTAATGATGGGTACATAAATCTATGGTGTAAAACCATTATTTTACACAAAATTTAATTCCATCCTAAGGTTATTGCTTCTTAGATGTCCTTATTCTGATTTTTCAATCTCTACTTAATCATGATGAGTTATCGTCGACCCTCATCCTCTTCCAATTTTATTTATTTTTTTATTTTATTTTATTTAGCACCTCGATCTAATTTTGTACTTAATTCTTTAAAGCAGATTTTTATATAAGTTTGCTTATACTTAACTTAGATTAATAAATAATATTAGTCTTTTCTACATAACTCTCTACCTAGATACATCCAATTTCCTTAATTTATTAAGTTTTCCTACAGCATCCACGTTGCTTTCCCCATTCATTTCCCATTTGTGATTTACAGTTATTCATCATCTTCTACATTCATTTTATTATAATAGATTTATGAACTTAGTCTAGCCCTTTAAACCATTAGTCCATAAGGTCTAATTACGAGTTCAATCTAACTTGCCTCATTTTATATAATAGCATTGCAATGATTAGTTTTCATGGCTGTGTATTATTCATTAAACTAATTAGTCAATCTTTTTCGCATATTACATCAAATTTTAAACTTCAAACTTTTGCCCAATGTATTCACTTAACGACTTTAATTCTATATTAACACCCAAATTTTTACCCGGTTCATACTAATTTGTCAGGAGGGAAGTTTAAACCTGCTCTTTATCATGTTTACAGTTATTATATTGCATAATTAATTGTGACCTAATTCTAGTAACATTATTTTCTTCACATTCAAGCACAATAATTCAAATTTTAACATTTCTTTATAGTCTGTAAGTTTCCGCGGCTTGATAGATTGAAGGATTCTTCTGTCTGATTTGATGTTATTTGTCTTAGATCCCCTTTTCTAACCCTTTGATTTTAATTTAAATTTACCATTTCACTTTATCCCTAAGTAACATTTCGGCTAGCGAATTAATCTATATCTTAATTGTACATTTTCAGTGCAGATCATATCTACATGATTATTAACTTATCAGTATATTCTATAGGCATTTAGGTCCTCGGGAATAAAGACAAGTGATAAAATTAAATCATAACAGTGCAATCATGTGTAATAATGTAAAATTCTATAAAATCAGATAAATTTTTTGACATGTCCGGACAAAAGTAAGAAACCAAAGCAATTAGATTGCAACTTTAAAAAACAATTTTCCAATAAGCAATAATAGACATGTTTCCTACAAATCAGTGAGCTTCAAAGAAATTACTTTCTTGATTATTCTTTAAAACTCCGACTTGCTTTCTAAATAAACATTTCAAATAATTTTCGAAGCAAGTGTCCCTGTCGGAATCATGGTGGTACTGGGTGATCAGATGCCAATTACACAATTTCGCAACTGATGCCTCTGCTTCAAATAGAATGGGGGGATTTAGCAAACTCTCGAAGATTTATTTTAGAAAACGGTCCAGTGTCCCGGACTCTTGTTAATAACTCCCTATTATTCTGTACTTTTAATTCTCGTCTAAGTTCATGACACGATTCCCCTTCCATCGCTCGTGCACGATGCCGTCACCGCACTAAAAATGGAATTCCAAGGTCCCCGACTACATGGATCCTTTGTTGTTTAGCGCGGTGGGTAGCCGATCCAACATAGGAGTCTCCTATTTAATTTCCTAGTTCACAATGAAATTGTCCACGGCCCAAACGTATGCTCTGATACCACGTTTGTGCACGACCATTTTGCCATGGACCGGACCTCGGCACTAGACCTCGGGTGGGCTTAAGCCCGCGAAGGGCCGTAGTTAAGCCTAACTTATTAATCTCACTTGCTACTCGAATAATATAGATCAGGCCCATTAACTCAAGAAAGTTGTCAGTTACAATATATTTACCATATGGACTTTAATCTATTTATTTAACAACCCAACGTGGAATACTGTGCGGAACTCTACCTTTATATGTTGACGTCGTTATTTCTACATTAAAAGTCTCTTACAATAGAGTTGTCGTCACCCTCCACAAGGCTTTTATTCCTTCCTATAACCTGAAAAAAAATAGTAGGGCAGGGGCTGAGCGCCAAACTCAAGATAGGGTTAATGAACCTCGTCAGCCCACACAATCACGACAGATGCTAAATATGTTTATCTAGTTACCGTAATTATATGGATCATGCAGTTTGTCACACAAATGGCAATACCAGCAATCACAAGTATGCACACCTTCGATAATAAGTCACATCACGTGGAAATTAGTCATGTGGAGCACCTGAACTCCCAACGAGCCGTCCTCACAGGGTTGGTTTCATGGCTCGCGCTTCATACAGTGACGCGCGGGAGCCGATGCCCCGCATACGGGCCAACTGGTCTAATCCTCACTGACCAGTCCTCTTCATTGGTTTTTCCATTCCTCTCTTTTCTTTCCATACCCCACTAGGAGCAACCCGTGGTGGTCTCATCGCATTAGGATCATCAAGTGCTTCACAACAGTGAGGCATGCCCTGCGGGCTACAATCAAAAATCTAGATTTATCAGCGTGCGCAACAACAATGAAGCCATCCTGTGTTTCCACAATCCATCACATCAGGTGCACACGGGGCGCCTGATCCCATTTTCCCGGGCCGAGCGGTCAATAATCATATCATTTTCAGGGATCCATAGTCACAGACCTGTCCTCTCACAGCGAAACCATGGTGGTCCACTTCATCCCAATTCCACCAAATCAAGGCACGAGTATATTGTCATAGCACAAGTACAAATCAATTTTACTATCAAGCAATAGTGGGCATCATAAGTATGGCAACTTCAAATAAAATAACTGCATGAGTAACATTAAGCCGTGAATGCATGCATCAGGCGGATGAAAGCGAAATTATCTAACACTCCCTCACATTCTTTATCTGTCCTTAATAAGGACTGTCTTTATCACGGCCATGCTTCCAGCTTTCGCCTCGATTCGGAATTTTATAAACCATCCCCAATAAATTTTTTTGTTGAATTTCTGCTGGCATGATCGGAAAATTGCCACGTGTGCCGGATCGGAGAAGTCATGGCCTTGCGGTTGGTCGTAGGCAACGCTGGAGCGCGCGGCAGAGGCGCAATCTCGGTGGTCGAGGGCTTGCTCTGGATGCTGCTCAGTCGCTGGTCAGTGACCAGACGCAGTTGCAGGGGAATAAAGAAAAGGGGAAAGAAGAAAAGAACAAATAGGAAAGAAGAGAAAGAAGAGAAAAAGAGACAGAAAAAAAGAGAAGAGGGAAGGTGGTGGTTGGTGCGGTGGTGGCTGGAGGTGGCGTAGAAAGGTGAGAGTGAAGGAGAATGAGGACGTTGAAGATAAACAGGGAAAAGGATGTTCTCTAGATGGGTTGGGTCGAACCGGTTCGATTCGGTTCGCATTCGGCCCCAAATCTTCCGATTTTCAACAGGTTTCGGCTTTTTCCAATCGGGGTTTTCGAATTCGATTTCGCATAGTGATTCCACTAAAATATTAAAGCAAATTCCAGCTGTCCGGTTACGTTAATCTAAATGTGAAAATGTTCTGAAAAATAAACAATTGCGGGTAGTTTCAAGCGTTTGAAAAAACGACTTTATTTATCTCAAAACGTATTCGCACTAAAATATTAATAGCAATTTCCAGGCTGTCGGTTCGTTAAATTAAATTGGAAAATGTTCTGAAAATAAAAATTCGGGGTATTTCAATATTGAAAAAACTTTTATTTATTCAAAACTATATAATTTAATGAAATATTTTAATCTTAATAAATAATGTAGGCTTGAAAGTCCAAAGAATCAAAATATAAAAACGAAACTAGTTTCACATAATCACAACTCATATATCATGTTCGTATCGATTTTTTTTGAATCTTTGCCAAGTGATCAATGAAAAAGTATTATCTTTTCTTTTATTGTACTTGACAAAACAATTAATTTTTTAATGGTATTTGTAAAAAATGTTATTCAAATATTATTTTGTAACACATAATGTTAAAAAATTATATATTTTTATTTTTTATAATATATTTTAAGATTGATATGTTTATAGTTCAAAATTTTAGAATTACCAAACTCTCGTAAAATTATTGAATCGTAATAAATATTTAGAATAAAATGGAATGAAATTTTAAAATATTTCGAAAGAAAATTGGAATCATAGTCATTTCATTTCATATTAACCGAATTCCACCCTGCTCTTGTGATTATTTGAAAGAAATATTGATTTTTAATTTTTTTATTACGTTAATTAATATTTTTGTTATTTTTTTCAAAATAAATTCTAAGAAAGGGAAAAACATATATATTTACCTGTGGCACTAAATCTATCAACTTTTATAATAATTAATTATTTTTTAAATAATTCATTAATAATAAAATGAGGAATATAATTTATTCATAATAAAATGAAAAATATAATTTGTTCATAATAAAATATCAAATATTATAAATATTCATATAGATAATATATAAAATTTCCTATTAAAATGAATACTATTGGACCTTGAGTTTTGAAAATAATATTAGATAAGAAAAATATAAATCTTCATGTTCAATATAGATATTGAGGATTGATCCAGCGGTAATAAATATAAAATATAATTATAAATATATTGTGATTGATAGTAAATATAAAATATAACTATAAATATATTGCAATTGAAATTAAGAAAATATAATTCAAATCGAATTCAGCCATTATCTTAAAACAAAAAAATCAAATGCACCAAAAATATTATAAAACTACAATGATAATATGAAAAAAATTTAACACGTTTATACAAGATATAGCAATTATTATTATCATTAAAAAAATTATTATAATTTTTATATTATTTCATTTTCATCATCTACGTAATAAGGAAGTACTTTCAAGGAAAAGGAATGAAGTTGATAAAAATGAAATCTTTAATTAAGAAGGCTAAATCATCCAAATCTAAAAAACTATTATTTCTATAACTTTCTTTATGCTTCGATTTACTATAGTATGGTCACTCCCGACTCCGCAGTCCCCTCTCGAAGCCTGTACACTTACAAATCTACAACGCTATTTAACTAAACAGATCAAAATCAGATTCAGACAAATTTATTTTTCTCTTACAGTTATCTTAAGTTTAATTAATCAATGTCTCTTCCCAGAAGTCCGCCACCAACGGCGAGGGAGTCCACCTGGGATTGCATGCTCCCCGGCCCACCATCCCGCAACAACTTCGGTTCCGTCGACCTCTCCTCATCTGGTCTTCTTGCCTTTCCTTCTGGATCCTCCATTTGCGTCGTAGATTCCCGTTCTCTCCAACTTATTTCCACGATCCCTCTTCCTCCTCTTCCTTCCAATTCCTCTCCTTCTCTCTCTCCCTTCATTACCTCCGTCCGCTGGACTCCTCTCCCTTTACGTCGTGACCTCCTCTCCACTGAGCCTTCCTCCTCTCACCTACTCCTTGCCGCAGGTGACCGTCATGGTCGCATCGCGCTTCTTGATTTCCGTCTCAAGTCGGTTCTTCTCTGGCTCGATCCTGACCCGAACCCGAAATGTGGTATCCAGGACCTTTGCTGGATCCTTTCCCGTCCTGATTCTTATATTCTCGCTTCAATCTCTGGTCCTTCCTGTCTTTCTCTATATACCACTACTTCTCCTGCGCGATGTTTCTTCAAATACGACGCTTCGCCGGAGTTTCTCTCGTGTATTCGCCGTGATCCTTTCGATTCCCGCCATTTTATTGCCATTGGTCTTAAAGGAATTCTTTTATCCATTAAAGTACTTGGAGAAGCAGAAGATGATGTTGCGATAAAGGTGCTTCGCATTCCAACGGATTGCGCTGAATTAGCGAGGTTAGAAAGGGATGCGCTGAGTGGATCCTCTTCTCCGTCGCCGGCGTCAGCTATATACCCACTGTATAGCGTGAAATTGGCGTTTTCGCCGCAGTGGAGGCACATTATTTTTGTCACTTTTCCAAGAGAGTTGGTAGTGTTTGATTTGCAGTATGAGACTGCACTTTTTAGCACAGCCTTGCCGAGAGGGTGCAGTAAGTTTCTGGATGTGTTGCCTGATCCAAATAATGAGCTGCTGTATTGTGCTCACCTTGATGGGCGTCTCAGCATCTGGCGGCGAAAAGAGTAAGTGCTATATTCACTCGAAATATTCTTGCTCTTTCTATATTCGATTTGTGTTTCAATTGGTGTTCAGTTTTGCATATCCTTTAGTTCAAAGTTTGACATATTAGGGAAGTGTATAAGCAATTACCTTTTAGTTAATGAGATAGCGAACTTTAGATCAAGTGATGATCAAGTGAATTGAAAAGGGCATTTGTTATTAAAGAAGCATCGATGGGATTGTAGTTGGGGAGTAATGTTTGAGTTCATTATGGGGGAGGGGGAAAATATTGTTTGACAAGGGAACCTGGAAGTTTGCAGTATGGGAATGTATTAGATGCTTTCTCTGGTGAAATTGATTTCTTACAAAAGACTTGCTAGAGATCTGAGTCTATTTTGGAAATACTGAAGGAAGCTAGTTTGTTGTCCTAAATATAATGAAAAAAAGGACAACCTGATTCAGTCACAAATAAGCTGCATGCTAATTGCTAAATTTCAAATAGCTGATTCATGCAGAAGGATAGTCAACTTCTTAAATTCAGTTACATGGGATTTTAGAAGTGTTACCTTTTAGAGCTGAAAATATTGTGCATTATAGAAGTTCACTAAGTTGTATCCATCGTTACTAATAGAAATTGAATGAGCTTTATATAGTTTTCTTTTTTGTTTGCAGGACATATAAATAAATATTATTTAATTTAATTTAATTTAATTTTATTGCCTTTTTCTTATTTTTGGCTGTAATGATGATCACACTGTACTTTCCCCCTAATTCCTGCCTGAAGGGAATGTACTTATTTACATATGATCACAGAGGAGAGCAAGTGCATATAATGTGTTTGATGGAGGAGTTGATGCCTGCAGTTGGATCATCTGTCCCTTCTCCTTCAGTTCTAGCTGTCACCGTCTGCCAATCAGAGTCAACACTCCAAAATGTTGCCAAGTTATATTATGATTCTCCTAATACTCCTTTGGCTGATATGGATTTTGACAATCCTTTCGATTTCTGTGATGATACTCTTCTTCTTTCCAAGACACATGTGATATCCATTTCTGACGATGGAAAAATATGGAACTGGCTCTTGACTTCTGAAGGAACTGGAGACACCCAAAAGGATTTTAAAGATTTGGACCATGACGTGCAGCTTTCAAATGGCATAGCTTCTGCTGATGGACTTGCTTCTGAAGCAGGCAAACAACAAGAGAATGTTAGTGGCAATAAAAGTCGTCCATCATCCTTTCTTAGCCAGGCATCTGTATCATATAAGGTATGTTAATAGACATTTCATCTTTGATGTTATTTTAGTATAAATTTTATAGTAGGCACCTGTTGGCTGAACAGTAACTTAATAATTGAAATAGCACAGTTCTTTAAGTTTTTGTTCATTGTTAAGTGTGCCTCTCTGTGTAAGATAATTCATTGCTTTCTACTTATGCTTTTGACCACATGGAACAATTAGCAAAATGCATTTCTTAATCTTCTCTACAGACTATTTATAGTCTCAATGAATAGCACCATTATTTATCCTATCCTCGTTTTTTGGGTTATGTGTGCATATTTACATGCCAGATACACTGATGCAGGTCAGCTTAGTTGGACAGCTTCAGCTTCTTTCTTCAACAGTAACTATGCTGGCTGTGCCCTCCCCTTCTTTAACAGCTACTTTGGCCCGTTAGTTTCTTCCTGACTCTTTTTTTTTTTTTTTTTTTTTTTTTTTTTTTTTACATCTACTTTGCCCGTTAGTTCTTCCTGAACTCTTTTTTTTTTTTTTTTTTTTTTTTTTTTTTTTTTTTTTTTTTTTTTTTTTTTTTTTGTGTTTAATATCTAATTTCTGTAAATACATAAAATTGTCACTTTTTAAGATATGAATAGCGCTTTGATAGTCAGACATTATAACATGAAGGTGGAGGAAATTATCCTGCTGTAGCTGTTCCCCTGGTCACATTGGGAACTCAGAGTGGAACAGTTGATGTCATCGATGTTTCTGCTAATGCTGTTGCAGCAAGTTTCTCAGTTCATACTGGTACAGTTAGGGGATTACGATGGCTCGGAAATTCTAGACTGGTTTCATTTTCTTACAATCAGGTAAAGATAGTCGGTTGAAAGCTATCATTAATTTTTCATAATAAGTTTGATTTCTTTTTACCTTTTCATTTTCCTCTCCTCTCATTGACTCAGGTGAATGAAAAAAACGGAGGTTACATTAATAGGCTTGTTGTGACCTGTCTTAGAAGTGGCCTTAATAGACCATTTCGGGTTTTACAAAAGCCAGAGCGTGCACCCATTAGAGCGTTAAGGACTTCGTCATCTGGAAGGTTATCTTGAAATCTGTTTTTTGCATCTTAAGTGCATATAATATAAGCTTGCTTTTTCATATATGCGAGACTTGTACTTCTAATATTCTTCTGAGTGTTTCTTTTGGTATCTTTCATATATACACTGACTCTGATGGAGAGATCGTAGTATAAGCTTTAGTTACCAGCTTACAGTCGTGCTTTAAAATTTCCAGGTACTTGCTTATTTTGTTTCGTGATGCACCTGTGGAAGTTTGGGCAATGACAAAAAATCCCATTATGGTGCGTTAGCTAATACCGTTTCTGCTTTATTATTATATTAGATATTTTTCCATTTCTTATGCAATAAATTAGTTGCTTTTGTGTGAAAATAATATCTAGTGGCAATTGACGCCTTCTACTGCATTGGTAAATAACATGGCGAGCATTTGAGTCAATTCTGGACGACATAAATGCTTGAAATTTATCTTTCTAAATTACTTATTTCTTTTTCCTTCAGAATTACCAAGGATTATGGATGTCATATATAAGTTGGAGATTTTATTAGCCAAAACATGGCTATCTTCTTGATTTAATTTCTTTGATAGGAATTTCTGTCTTTATTTTATTTAAGGACATGGAATCAAAAAGCTGTACTTTCTCTTGGTGCAAATGGATTTGTTACTTAAAGTGATAAATATAATGGATTCATTTCCTTTTTGCAGAGGAATTGCTAATCCAAATGGTGTTCTAGATTTGTTGAGGACATTGAGTTATTTTTCTCTGGCTTCTGAGCAATTGTTACATTGACATTGCGTTGCTGAATGGACAATTCTTTTGTAGAATGAAATTTTGAAAAAGCTGCTAAAATGATGATTGCAAATGGGAAATCTGACTTTTCAAAAGGAAAATTAAGAGTTTTGTTTAAAAATGTAAAAGAAGTATTAGACATTCTTCTACAGATAAGTAAGCATATATGGAAATTTCTCCGAGATTGATTGCAAAACATGGACTTCAGCATTCTTCTGCATTGAGCCTGTGTAGGGAATAGAAGTAGGAGGAAAGTAATAGGGGAGGAGAATAATAGTGTGGATATTGGGGGAGAGATGAAGATAAGAAAGTAGTTTAATGGAAGGTAACTTTTACTTTACCCTTCCCCTTTCTCTTTTTAGAAGAGATATTATAGGATTGTACTGGTAATTTAGTAAATTTCTCCCTACATGTCGAGAATTTTTTGTGGGTTTCACATGCCTCTTTCTGCTCATTTAGTATCCTAACACATTGAAACTGTGTCAGAAAAATTTTAACATTTCATGTGGCATGACTTGGTGAATTTGTAATGAATACGGATAGACGGGAAAGTTATAGATTTATTTCAGAACAAAGTCCAAATTGGCCCTTGAGAAATTGAGCAAAGTCCAGATAGGCCCTAACGCTCAAATTTGGGCTAACTGGACCAATAATTTTACTTTTGGCCAGGTCCAAAATCATGTCTCAAGTGTCAACTGTTAAGTGCCTATGCATCAGAATAAATAAAATAATGTTAAAAGTTTCATTTTGTCTCACTTTTGACTTGTGGGCTTTATTTTGACATAACCATGATTAGGTAAGCTGCATCTTTGAGTTAAACACAAAGTTCCCACGTTGTTAGTGGACAAGAAAATCCATAAATGGTCTATCTTTGTAACTTCATTTGCTATTATTGAATATTGTTATTGCTTTTTGATTTAATGAAGTGTTCTGCTAAGTCTTTGACTCTTACATCTACATCTTTTGTATGGTTTTCTCAAATCTTTTTATTTATATTTTTTCCAATTTTTATATGCTCACTATTTGACTGGAACTTGACCATTAAACCAAAAGAGCATTTTACTTCACTTTCTTGGATGTTTAGATTTCTTCTTCTCTCATTTCTAATAATACACTTTTATTTATTTATTTATTTAAAAAGCATGACATTGATAATCCAAGAAATCATTATTCTGAATATTTGAGTTCTTTCTCTGTACATGTTAGTTAAATTTGAATCTCCAAATCTGTTATCTCATTCTCTGCAAACATTCGGATGGTTTACAAATGCAGCCTCTTCAATTAGAAAACAAGAAGAGAAGATGTAGCAAATCTAAGATTTCTGTGTGCTGGTACTGACAAAGTGATAATTGACCTAATATTAGGCAATAAATGCACATATTAGGCAAAACATTTGTGCAGGCATTAGCCATATGTGCATGTATTACTAGTGTATAAAGTGTTAGAGATTGCGTTGAAATAGCCGAAAAAGTGAAGCTTGTGTCGGTTAACCAAAATTTGAGTTTTAGGGCCATTTAGACATTAATCAACCATTCAGGTCTGGTTCAGCCTTTTCCAATATATTTCCTGTTGTTCAATTAATTGAATTACTTAACTCTTCTTCTTCTTCTTCCTTTCTTCTTTTTTCCTATTCATGGTTTAATGAACTTTTCAGGGACATTTTTCTTTTATTTTTGGATTTGAGCTATTTTCTTTTGCTTTTAGATAATTATTATGTTTTATACCTTCATGTAGCTTAGATCATTAGCTCTTCCATTCACGGTATTGGAATGGACTCTTCCAACAGTTCCGCGCACAGTTCAAAATGGTCCATCTAGGCAATTTTCATGGTCATCCAAAGATCAGCAACCTGTAACACAAGATGGAGCATCTACTCCAAAAACATCTTCATCAGAATCTAGTGAGTTTCTTTCTTTTTTTTTTATTTATTTATTTATTTTTTTTATGTGCTGAAGTACTACATGGATCAGTGCGCACTCCAGTGCTCAAAATATTGTGAAACAATCAAAGTAGTTCTTGTGTGCAGAAGAAGCAAGTTCAGACGCATCTCAGGATGACACGGCAGAAAGTTTTGCATTTGCACTAGTAAATGGCGCACTTGGAGTTTTTGAGGTTTGTGGGCGGAGGATCCGGGATTTCAGGTATAAAAATTCCTAACATGATGGAATCAGTGTATTGCTATGCTGAGTTATAGAAACATAAATTGGTTTAATTTTCTGCATTTTTTTATACCATGGTTGATATTTTGACTGTTGCAACTAGAATTATGCTATCAGCCTTTTGATTTTTGTGGAATGAACTAGATGTAACTTCTCTTTTTTAGGACTGCAAAATTAAATTGGTTTAGTAGGTAAATTTTTTTGCAATTTTGTATGAGTAGAAAATTATGAACACAGCTTTTGCATTTCAGGGATCAAAATTCAGAATTCCGTACCCTTCTCGCGTTCGCAACTTAGAAAGAATAAACTATAAAAGAGAAAAAGAAATGCTTGTTTATTCAGCATGTATAATATGACCAACCATATTAGACTTTGGCCAATTTTTGCATTAATGTTTACCGATGAAAACTATGATACATCACATGCTTTTTCCTCTTAATTCGTTCACACTTCATACCCACTTTTTGTTCAGGATTCTGAGATGATGTGATGGAAGTCATGTTATTTGCTAGTATACTTATTTTATGCAATGCCTCATTTGTCAGAAAAATGAAAAGGAACAAAAGAGAATGAATTAATACGGTTGCTTTATTAATTTATTTGTTGCGGGATCCAGTTGAGTGGGTCTGAATCAGATGCTTTTGGGTTTGGTAACAGAAAATAAAACCGTCACCCTCCCTTTTCAAGTTTATTTCTCCTGCTTCTTTTTTTTTTTTTTTTTTCAAATTTCAAAATAATTGTATACTTCAATTATCACCAATTAAATAGTTTATTACTCATGATTGTTATGTTAAGCGCCATCCTCAAAGAACAAATAAAGTGGTTGAAGCGTGAGTGCCTCTCATATAAATGTTAGAAGACGACACATTTTCCCGTCATGTCTTGCATAATAGTCAATATTTCATTGTACATGTGATTATAAGTAAATTGAGTCATGATACTGAAGAAATTTAATTATTGTTCAACTATAAGTTCAAAAGTATATTACAAAAAGACCACTGAGGTTTGGCCTATCAAACACTTGGATTTTCCTTTTCAAAATTGAGTTTTTTTTTGTTTTTGCTCTGAATAATTTTGTTCTTTATTGCTGAAACTGAGAGTTGGTGTCAGTTAAAAATTATGTAGGTTTGGTCTAAAACATATAGTTTGGTATTGAAAAGAGCATGAGTATTGAATTTTCATAGAATTTGAGGACCAAGTATGTTTTTTTATTAGAAAAAAGAGGAAGAACAGGTGAAAGGAGTAAATTTCATTTTTTTTATATTTAAATTCCTCTATCCAAAATTACATCATCCTGGGTAATCTGTGACTGGACTCTACAAATTGAGTTATTGGACTGAAATGTTGATACCATAATCCTATATCCGGAATGGGTTAGCTTCAGGTTTAAGATTACATACTCTATTAATAACTTCAATATTATGGCCCTCAAATCACTTTGGTCTTGCTGTGGCTCTTTTTGTTTGTTGACATATAATGTAGCTCACTTTTTTAACACAATCATTATGATTTATCACTGATTAGATATAACTGTTCATCTTTAACTTGTATGCTATACACGTATAATTGCTCAGCTATTTCATGCTACACTTTTCTTCCTTTCTTTGCAGACCAAAATGGCCTTCTTCTTCATTTGTTTCCTCTGATGGATTGATTACAGCCATGGCTTATCGCTTGCCTCATGTCGTATGTGTCAAAGTTATTTTATCAATTTCATTCCATTGGTCATTTAAATTGGAACCTTGGTTCTTCCAAAAGTTCTATTATGGGAGGAGGTGACTTTATGATTTCTCAGGTTATGGGAGACAGGTCAGGGAACATACGATGGTGGGACGTGACAACTGGGCATTCTTCGTCATTTAATACTCACAGGGAAGGAATCCGGAGAATCAAGTTCTCACCAGTTGTTCCTGGAGACCGTAGCCGAGGGCGTATTGCAGTGCTTTTTTATGATAATACCTTTTCTGTATTTGACCTTGTAAGCATGAAACAATTGGCAATCTTGCTACCTTATACATTGTGCACGCTAATGTTTTTGTACTACACCATAATGCTGTGTTTCTTAGTTCATAGCATATGTTTTGGTATTACTTGTTAAAGACTGCATTTATTTATTCATTTGCGTAACCAGTGGATTTCTTCATTTGGTTCTGATACTTTCACTTGTTCTCGAATTGCAGGATTCACCGGATCCATTAGCCAATTCCCTTTTGCAACCTCAGCTTCCCGGAACCCTTGTACTGGAACTTGATTGGTTGCCTTTACGAACTGACATAAACGACCCCCTGGTATTATGCATTGCAGGAGCTGATAGCAGTTTCCGACTTGTGGAGGTTAACGTGTAAGTATTATTTTTAGATAGAGTTGACAGACTCACTTTTATACTATAATTACTGCCTGAATATGGGAGAATGTTAAAAGGGCCTTGGATGATGCTTTGTGCGGCTCTGATTCTTCTGAAAGATGAGAATATTTAGGTAGCTGAGGAGCAATTTATTTGCGTGTTTATTTTCTCCAGAATTAATCAATCTTTTTTGGTCAGAGAGAAGGGTGTAGAAATTGAAGAAGTTTGGGAAATTAATTCTCATGGGAAAGTTCTTCCTTTAACTCCATTTTCATGTTCTGTTACAAAATTTTCAAACCTGAGGTGATACTATCGAATTAATACAATAGTAAAGTTGTTATGGATGTCAGGTATCAGGGAAGAAAAATTGTTGATACAGGAATTCATGTTTGGTCCTCTGTAGTTTGGTGATGAGACGACATTTTTGCCAACTGTTGGCAGAATTTTGTACATCATAAAACAATTTTGTGTTACTTTTATGTGAACCATTAGTTTATGCCAAATATTTCACTCCATTAGTGTTGGAGTTTTGACACTACTTAGGAATCGTCATGTGGATCCATGAATGCTAAATTAGCTTTTCAATAGTTTGGTGTTTGTCAAGGTAAATTTTGGACTGTAAGCTGTCTTTTTATGTTTGTTGCTCTGATAATGATGCTGTTCTATTTGTGCAGAAATGACAAAAAGCTTGGCCATGGACTGCCGGCCCAAGCTCTTAAAGAAAGATTTAGGCCTATGCCTGTATGTTCTCCAATACTGTTCCCAACACCACATGCCCTGGTAATTTCCTGGTTTTTGATTGTGCTTCGATTTAGATGACCTGTGCAATATGTTACGCCTCCCCATTCTAAACTTCTAATTGATTCACCTGTCATCAGCATGTACCTATTTACATCTTCCACTTGAGTTCTGTATTTTATGCGAGTAATGTATTAACATCAAGAGGAGGATGTATCTTTATAGAAAAAGGAAAAGGGGAGTCGATTGTTGACCTCCTTCTACTCCTTTCTTCCTTGATTGAAAGAATAGGAAAAATCTTCAAACAAAATTAATTGTAGGGATTATATTGCAGGCCTTGTAGCTCATCTCCTCTGTTCTTTTTTTTGGCATAGAGATGCTGAATATGCAGAAATGCCTGAGGAAAAGGCGTATCTTCTTTCTCAAATATTGGATTGAGGTTTCCATACAGAAGGCATTTCTTTTGGGTAACTAACTCGCTGCTGGTATTCATTTGCTATAGGCATTGCGGATGATCTTGCAATTGGGTGTCAAGCCCTCTTGGTTTAACACTAGTGGTACAACCATTGATAAAAGGCTTCACTCAATTCCAGGAACTGCTTCTCCTGCAACAGATCTGCGCAGTTACCTGATTGATTTACCTCCTATTGGTGACTCTGTGGTGCCAGAAATGCTCTTGAAAGTATTGGAGCCTTATCGAAAAGAAGGTGGTTTCTTACTTATCTGCTGTTACAGAAAAACTATATTCCATGTAACTGACTATTCAACTAATTTCTTTTGTGGTTAACTGTTCTGAATGTTTCCACGTCTTAAGGTTGCATATTGGATGATGAGAGAGCAAGATTATATGCTACCATAGTCAACAAAGGTTGTGCTGCGAGATTTTCCTTTGCAGCTGCAATATTTGGTGAAACATCAGAAGCACTTTTCTGGCTGCAGTTGCCTCATGCTCTAAAACATTTGATGAATAAGTTGGTAAATAAGTCTCCTAAGAAACCGTCCAACTCAGCTTCCATTCCAGGACTTGATGACACGGCGATGTTGACCAGAATTGCATCAAAGGGGAAATCATTGGCTGGTACTGAGAAGGACTCATTGGTAAGTCAATTTGTGTATTATTCATTTTCTCTCCTTCCCCCTTCCTTTTATCTTTTCTCTTTGATTTTTTCCTTCTTTGTTCGCTGTTCTAGTAGTTATTTTCTATTGCAAAAATATCAATAGTTTGTGTTGTAAATTGAGTCATTTGTTTAACAGAGCAAAGGCCAACTTGGATTGATGGCTTTCCAGCAAGAAGAATTATGGCAGAGTGCTAGTGAGCGAATTCCTTGGCATGAGAAACTGGAAGGAGAAGAGGCTATTCAGAATCGTGTGCATGAGTAAGTCCTCTGTTTTACTGGTTTATTGTTCTATGCACTGATTATCTTTGTGCTAGTCAACGGCTACCATATGAATGGACTAGTGTGCTGTAATTTGTTCTATCAGACACTTGAGAATATTGTGAATTGGTTCATAATTGTTGTTGTGCCTAAAGTGTGCGGTGCTAGTGCTAGTACCTACCAGGCAAAGGAGGGTTACCTTTTGCAGGTGCATGCTTTACAGCTTAGGTGCTCTTGCAGGCACAAGCCCCAAGTAACCACACCTCTCAAACCTGTCTCTGGTGAGCTCTTGCCTCTTCCATTGGCAAAGGCCAATAGCACCAATGGAAAAATGCTGATTTATCAGAATCCAGTATCTACATGCTAGAAGATATCTGATAGTCACATTTTGCATGAATCTTGTTGAACTACCACTACTGAAATCTTTGGCTACCAGTGCTTCTTTTTCCAACAACCATGTGCCTCAAATCCTATGTGCTCAACATTTAATGGACTACAACTACCCTCTTCATAACTATGCTAAGAAATAACATACAACTTCATCAATTTACTAGTTCGACTCAAATATAAGGGACTGATATTTGGGCTCAACATTATTTTATTTCCATTTTTATTGGTCTGTTTATCCTGACAGTAGCATACAGTTTCTTAGCCTGTACCCACCATACTTCTTTTTTAGGGTTCTTGATTCACTTGGATAATCATATCTCATTTTCATGATAAGCAGGCTTGTGTTAGTTGGGAATTTGGAAGCAGCAGTTAGTTTGTTGCTTTCTACCTCTCCAGATAGCAGTTGTTTCTATGCAAATGCTTTACGTGCAGTTGCACTTTCTTCAGCCGTGTCACGATCTCTTCATGAGCTTGCAGTTAAGGTGAGTATTTTTTCGGATCTGGTTATGTTTCAACCGGTGCACACAAATTGTGATTGAAACACAAGATTTTATGTAAACTTTTTTCTGATTGTTAACTATCATCTGGTCATCAAGGTTGTTGCAGCTAACATGGTCAGGACTGACAGATCACTGTCTGGCACTCATCTTCTTTGTGCTGTAGGAAGATATCAAGAAGCTTGTTCACAGGTTAGGTTTCATATCAAATTTCTCTTGCTTGCTTATTTACTGTCTTTTGTCATAGATCAAATTTTAGCTTTTCTTCAAATGCATATGCATTTTGATTCTCCAACATTCTGTTGATTTGCTTGTGGTAATATAGTGCTGAGGTCAAGGACAATCCAGAAATTTGTAATAATGGGACCAATATATACATACAGTCATTTTTTTTTTTTTTTTGATCTTTACAGATTTTTTTTGTAATCCTATATTTAAATTTTTTGATAACTAAACAATTATTGAATAACACCGATAAGGTTGGTCTGAGTGGAAAGAACTTAGGTCCCTTAAGCAAGAGGTTGAATGTTCGATCCTTGTGAATGGAAAAAATCCCCTTTGGGAGCGTTTCCCCTTTATTTGCCTGACGTGGCGTGAACAAGATTAGACTTAGCCTAATGGACTAAGGACACCTGTGGTATAAACAAACAAAAAAAATTTATGGAACGGCTTTTTTTACTATAATACTTCTTATCCTAAATTATTGTTCAGTACTTTTCATATTTGATATTATATTAATATTTTTTTTATTCAATTACTAAAGGAGGAGATTCATTAATTATAAGATAAAATTGATTTTAGTATCACTTGGATATAGTCCATTTTTATAATTACTTTTATTTTTCAATTTTCATGCTATTACAATATAACCTTTTTTTTTTTTTTTGGTTTTATTGAGCTTCAGTTGGAGATGTGAACTTGCAACTTGACAGTTAAATCTAGGACAACTTTAATTCTATTAAACCAATCTGTTGAGACTCATTGACATTAGAATATGACTTCCAATATATAACTCAGCAATAATTGAACAAAATTGTTCATCAAAATAATATAATAACTAATAATAAAAACATTGCTAGAGGCATGAGAAGAAAAAGGGTAATATAATAAATTGAAAGATATGCATGGATGAATTAAATCGAAAGTTTAGTTTTATTTTTGTGTTTATTTAATCAAACTGAATTAACAAGCAATATATATAGTGAAAAATTTTTTTGAGGTTAGAAAATAAATATGTAATCTGGTTCAATTCAAATTACATCAATTAATTTTTTATTCGAAAATTAAGACAAGATTATCAAATTATAAAAAGTTGAGAAAAATTTGGGGAGCAAATCTACATTAATAACAGAAAATGACATAAATATGTGCATAAAAACAATACAGAAAAGCAGTGGGGACAAGTGCAATTGCCTTCTTGCTACTCCGTCCCTGGTTGAGGTGAGTACAGGGGGATGCTAAGGGGGTTGGAACAAGTGATTGCATGATGGTCCAATTAATCAATAATTATTTCACAGTTTGTTGGGGAATATATTTTACACATGACTGGGATTTATTCTCAGTTCTTGTGGATAGAAAAGCAAGTATCTGGTTATGAATGATCCATCAATGCAGAGTTATTAGTTAGGGAACTATTAGAGATCAAACTGTCGTCATTGTTAGTATTTCCAGTGAAGTGGCTGCTTATAACATCCTCATTTTTCTTCCTAGACGCTTATCTTTGCATTGGAATTCAGATGCTCACAACATTTGGACATTTCCAATGGCATTATAAGTGGTATGTGGTGTTTGATATTAAATGTAAGCCTTAAGGCAGACTGGACAGGCCCTGTATGCTCTTGGTAAAGATGAGTTTTTTCAGAGCACTTATATTTTGGTGAATTACGCTCTAAAATGTTTGCATCTTTTATTTTTTTGGTTTTGGAATCAGAAATTCTTAGAGGTGAGGGGGCCCTGCAAGAATTGAGACCCTGACCTCCTGCACTTTGAGGCAGGCACTTAAGCACTTGGCTTTTAGCTTGGATAGACTGACGGCAAATACTCTTTCCAGCAGGAAATGACATCATAGTTTGCTTTTTTATTGACTGATTGGATATATACTTGTGCAGCTCCAAGATGCCGGATGTTGGACAGATGCTGCAACTTTAGCTGCTGCACACTTGAAAGGATCTGATTATGCAAGGTTCTGATTTGTTTATCATGAAAACCCTCAAAGTTTTCCTTAAAAAGTTGGCTGCTGTTTTATTTTGCAAGATTCTATTATCTTTTTCATCAATTAAATTTCATTTCACGCCCCATTTTTTCAATGTGAATTTATTATCTTCTGTTTGAGTGATGATTTCAGTAGCTCATTGACCTGTTCTGCAGCAAGTCCATAGAAGTCTTATCCTTTTGTTGGATATAATATTGTCATTGAGTTTTGTTGAAAGTCAGTTTAAACTCTTATGTTAAGTTTGGTATCATGTAGTTTAATATAATGGAAGGTAATAAATTGAATTTTTATTTGATTACATTCAATTACATCCAACCATCCATACCTTTTACCTTTTTATCAAATGTCTTGCTGTTGACCACTATTATTTGCATCGTTTGCATTATCACTTTTGAAACAAACATTGTCGTTTCATTTCCAGTTCGTGTTTTTGCAGGGTGTTACAACGGTGGGCTGACCATGTACTTCGTGTTGAACACAACATCTGGAGGTACTTCTACTTCCACTTTTAGCAAGCATTTTAAACACGATATTTATCCCTTCTCGTCTTAAGCTAAAATTTTTGTATGGTCCAATGCAGGGCTTTAATTTTGTTTGTTGCAGCTGGTGCATTGCAAGAGGCACTCGCTGTACTCCGTGAAGCACAACAACCTGATACAGCTGCCATGTTCATACTTGCTTGTCGTGAAATCCATGGAGAAATAATTACAGCTTTAAGAAATTTAGACGACCAATCAGGTTCTTCTTTGAATGATGCTCTAATCAACTTACGAGGGTTGAACCCAGAGAATGAAGATGTTATTGCCGTTGGTGAATATTTTGGACAGTATCAAAGAAAATTGGTTCATTTGTGCATGGATTCGCAGCCGTTTTCTGACTAATCGCGGATCAGAAAACTCTTCCGTCAGTTTTCCTTGCTGGATATTTCACCAAAAGCAACCTCGCGACCAGTCACAGAAACCGCATTGAAATGATATATGATCTGTTTTAAAATTTTGGTTTTAACTTTGTGAATACAATTTCTATTTTATTTATTTATTTGTTCCTTTTTGCATATGTTTCCTATTTATGTCATATCAATAGCCATATTGTCCTATATTGGTGGACTTGGAATTGTTGGTATTAATTTTTCAGAGAAATTTCAATCAATGTCATTGGTTTTAATAACAACAACAAAAATTGTTTAGTTGAGAAAATTAAAAGGAAAGTTTATAGGTAATGACAATTTTTTTTACTTAAATTTTTTATTTTTTAATAATCTATATTTATTTTATAATGAAATGTGACAGTTAACATGCGATAATACTTAATACAAACACGAATATTTAAAACCATCAAATTATTCTTTAACTAACCATTTATATCATTTGATTGGCCAATGGAATCAATAAAAGGTTTAATTAAATCTAGAATCCAAAATTGTTTAGTTGAGAAAATTGATATTAAAATTGGCTGACGCGCATATCAGGGTTAAAGTGGGAAAATAATATTAGACAGGAATGTATTTAAACAACTCTAAAGAGATTTAATGGGTAAAATAAACAAACAGAGAGAATGAAGATTTTAGAGATCAATCTGATCTCTGCGCAAGGTCTCAATCCGCCGTCTTCCAGTCGACGCCGCATGCAGACGTACGCAGTTGTTTCGATCGATTCTTCCACTAAGCTCCGCAGCCGAATCGATCTTGATGGTGGCGAGGACCCGATTTGGGGTGACAAGTTTCTCTTCAAAGTCACTCCTGAATTTCTCTCCGGCGAAACAACCAGTGTTTCTGTCGAAATCTTTGCCGTCGGCTGCCTCCGTGATAAACTACTCGGCACCGTCCGTTTACTCATCAGCAATATCCCGCTATTTTCCCAAGAAATGAGAACTCCTTCGTTCGTCGCTATGCAGATTCGCCGCCCTTCTGGAAGATTCCAAGGGTTGCTTAACATCGGTGCTATTATCCACGACGCTTCTGATTTCGCGTCCTTAGATGGAGTATCGGCGATTTGTTATCGCGATCTTGTGGGACAGAGTATTTGTTCCCGGCGCCGACGTGATTTAAAGAAGTCGTCTTCGACAGGGAAGGATGATCGTGGCGAGAATATTCTTGTGGAGATTCGGAAGATTTGTCAAATGGTGCTGATTCCACGACTTCTTCATCGACGGTCATGAAGGACGGGAAAGAGTTTAGATGTTTGGGGAGGGCAAATAGCCTATGGTGATCATCAGACGGTAGAGGGATTCTTTGAGGGTTGCTGCTGCATCGGAGGCTTACGATGTACTTTTCTGCAGAGAATCTTGAGGTATTTTGGTGGGTTATGTGGAGGGCCCTTGGCAATATTGTGCCTACAAAGAGTAATCTGATCTCTAGAGGAATTTCTTGTTCCTTGCTCTGCATGACCATTATGATGAGCCTTGTTTGGGTTAGTTTTTCATTTAATTTTGCTTGTTTGGTGATTTTTTCCCACGTATCTCTGCCAAGACTAGTTCTTTTTTGTGGAGTTTTTCTATTTACTATCTGTGCCGAGAGAAATGATATGAGCGTTTAGATTGTCGTGGTGGAGGCTAATAGCTATTTAGTGATCATCCAGACGGTAAGAGGGAACTGGCTTGAATGAGGTGTATTATGCTCGCCACTAAAACATAGTCAATCTGATAAATTGCTTACCTCGGACCGCCAATTATCACGTATGTTATCGTTTGTTACTATGATGCACATGAATCCTCTGTAGAGGAGTTAGAATCTTTTGAAAGTGTTGGCTGAAGTATATGTGTGAGGGCCCTTCTAGGCATATTCCATGCCATAACAATTAGAGGTAGAATCTTGGTCAACAGTCTCAGTAGGTAGGAATTTATCCTTTTAGTTCCTTGCCAAGCTGTCGCATTAACCATCTACTCCGACTTTGACCGCACCTTTGTGTTATGTTGGGTTAGTTATGTTAATCATATTTAATATCATTTGCTGCTGTTTTTTCTCTCGGCGTAACTTTCAGATTTTTATATATATCGTTGTTATCCTTCTACCGAAGTTTTTCTAAGCTTTACTAGCCACAGGCACTATTTCTTTTTTTTGGTCCTTCCTGTTAGGAGATCGCTTTCTATTTTTTTACCTCCATCTGTGGCATCCGACACGGTTACTCAAAAATTTATTAGCTACCTTGTCCACTGCGATGAATAGTCTTGGTCAATTACTTGAGTAAAAATATATATGGTGTTAAAATGGATAAAGTTATGGTCGCTTTAGGTAGACCATCTTGCGCCGGATTTAGAACCGAACTTGTTTTGAGCTCACTTAAAGTTCATATCATCTGGTTGTATATTTTATTACATCTTTCTCAGGGTGAGTGCATCTTCCATAGTATTCGGGAGACCATTGGGGCTTTGTACCTGTAGCTTACTCTGGTATATATTTCAAACAAAAGTTTCCTTTCGAGTGCAACAAAATGACTAGGCTTCCAACCAAGACCATTATTTTGTTAAATAGTAGATTTTGGGTCTCAGATTGAACAAGTGTCAGTTCGGGCTTGAAGCTTGTTGGTATGGCTAAGTGAAGAAGGTTTCAGCCAAGCAGCCAAAGGGATTAGTACTGGAGTTGAGTTGTGGGGATTCATCATCAGCGTCTCTGACTTATTTGCACCTTTGCAAACTTTACGTGGGCGGAGTTACTGCGTTTATTAGGTAATTGAGAGTTTGTTTTCTTATGCAAAGATTGAGCCATCCCGGAATTTGGGCCGTAAGGCCTCAACACCTAAGCTTTGAGAGGGTTATTTGTGTGACATTAGTTTTTTTATTCCCATTTTCTCTGTAATGCACATGTAGAGAGTAGAATCTGTACACGTCTTAGCAATAGAGTCCAGAGCAGATCACGAGGTTTTTCGTATTCAGCTTGATGTCAGACACATTTGGGATTAGACAACTCCAGGCAATTATTCTGGGTCTCGTGTGTTTTTGGGGGGGGTGAGAATTCTATGGGATTTATTAAAGTGTGGACCCTGGGTTTTACTGATGAGGTTGAATGATAATATGACACAAAGATTTCTAATGAGCTCATAATTGAAGGTGTGTAGGTATTTATATCTGCACTTACTATTCTTGTGGAGATTCGGAAGATTTGTCAAATGGTGCTGATTCCACGACTTCTTCATCGACGGTCATGAAGGACGGGAAAGAGTTTAGATGTTTGGGGAGGGCAAATAGCCTATGGTGATCATCAGACGGTAGAGGGATTCTTTGAGGGTTGCTGCTGCATCGGAGGCTTACGATGTACTTTTCTGCAGAGAATCTTGAGGTATTTTGGTGGGTTATGTGGAGGGCCCTTGGCAATATTGTGCCTACAAAGAGTAATCTGATCTCTAGAGGAATTTCTTGTTCCTTGCTCTGCATGACCATTATGATGAGCCTTGTTTGGGTTAGTTTTTCATTTAATTTTGCTTGTTTGGTGATTTTTTCCCACGTATCTCTGCCAAGACTAGTTCTTTTTTGTGGAGTTTTTCTATTTACTATCTGTGGCAACACAAAAATATTACACCTGCTAATTCTTGCATGGTTTATGGGATTGTATTGTAGAGACCATGGTGGAAATTCTTGTTTTAAGTATTTCTGGTTGTTTTCCAGGTGGCTCTTTGGCTTTGCTTGTAGCTCTGGTATGCCTCAGTCAAGAAGGCTTCAGCCATGTATGTTGATTTGGCTATTTGGCATCGCTTGAAGCTTTGGTATGGCTAAGTGAAGAAGGTTTCAGCCAAGCAGGAGTTGAGTTGGATTCACAGCGTCTCCTATGCAGTTGCTTACTGCGGCGTTTATTAGATTGAGTTTGTTCATGTAGTTAGTTCCCATTTTCTGTTAAATGCACTGTAAGTAGATGTACCCCAACCAGGTTTTTTCACTTAACATCTTGGATACTAGGTTGGGTTTCTTGGGGGGTCTATCTATTGACTTGGGTTAGTTTATATCCAATTTGTTAAGTTTTTCCTGGTTTATTAATAATAATAAAATTTTAATTTTGGTATTAATTTTTTGTAGAAATTTGAATTAATGTCATTGGTTTTAATAATAGTAAACATTTTTTAGTCGAGAAAATTCAAAGTAAAAAAAAAAGAACAAAAGTAATAGTAGTAACATTTTTAGCCACCCTACGTAATGCTGAAACAAAAAAGGTTTGATGAAATTTTATTTGATTGACCAATGGATTTTACGAAGGAATCAATGAAAATTTTAATTAAATCTAGAATCCAACACTTGTTTGTTCCTACTACTACCAGAAGGAAATGTTACAGAGATAAGAACACACTTGTAGAGTTGCCCCAAGGAACGGGAAGTACCCTTGAATTTTGGCCTGGGTTCTTCACCACTTCATCGTTGACAGAAATACATCTGTAATATTTAGTTGCAGAGATTATACGAGTGCAGCAGCTTCTGTGTTTCACCCTTCATCCACAAATCAGAGACTATTTGGCGACGGACATATTAGCTATCAATTGACTAGGGATTATTTGGCACCTGTTTATATTTTCAATCAATCAATATAAAGCACTAGCAGGATGAAAATTTATCAATAACAGTCCTGCAGAGTAATTAAAAGCCAGGATACATTTCACCTTATCGAGCTGATGAAGGCAAGATTCAGGTTTTTCCGTTTTAATGAGCTAATAACCAACATGAACCTCCAAAGATCAGAAAAATTCCGAGCGCCAGCCGCATTTCCCTTCATGCTTCTTAATCACATCACAACAGGTAGGTAAATTAATACGAATTATAAAAATAAAGAAATTGAGTGGCCAAAGGTTGAGCTTTCATATATAATGCTTCTCAACAGAGTAGCATACAGTTTCTAAGGCAATAGGGTTATAGGATACCTTCAGAATCTCCAGCATTCAATGAAAGAATCTCCTACGACATCGAGCAGATCCCAGTTCTTCATACTCAGACTTGGTGACACACATTGCTTCAAAATCAGGACTTGATGCTAAAAGTGATCCACCTCGCCATACACCTAGTATGGGACTGGACAAACATCACATAAGCATTGACATTGGCACTTGAAATGCAAAATTAATACTTTTCACGAGTGAAGAATTTACTCTTCTTGTGTAGTTAACTTCACTTGATACTCATCCGGAACAAGAGGCCGGAGTTCCTTTTCCCTGCAAATTCATCCAAATATCAATTTAAGTCCCAATACCATAATACAATACACAGCATATGAGAAAACATGCAAGGACCACGAGCTTACAGTCTCTCAGCAAATTGCGGAAACAATGTGCTCCCACCAGTTAATATGATGCTGTGCAAGAATAAGATTTTATCAGCTATCAACTGCTATTAGAAAAACAAGAAATTAAAAGTTGAAAATTTGCTTAGTGCTTGGTACTGCAAGACTGCAAGATATCACCTTTCATAGAGCACAGGGTGGAGAAGAGGATGGCAAGAGTTTACTGCTCGAACTATGCACTCTGCCAGTCCAGCCTGGTTCATGCCTGAAAAAAAAAAGTTCGTATTAGAAAGTTCTCCAAGTTCAATACCAAAAACAATAAAACAAACATCAAATGCTTTCATCTTTAACTTCACCAATATAACATCTGCATATAAGCTCAACATAATTCCTAACTTTCCATGTGAAAAACTTCCAATGTTGTTTATTGCTAGATTCTGAAAGAAATTTGATCTGATTTGGCACATAACATTAAAGTGAGAAAGTTGTATGCTCCATCTGTGATTTTACAACAAATTAAAATGATAATAATGAGCTGCCACAAAGCAATGCAGCCGAATTTTCATTGAGATTTGATAATAGTGAGCCTACTTACCACACTGAGGTTCAAAGATATTTATTTAACAAATTAGTTGAAAGACACTTGCGTAACAAATTAAAATTAAATAATTTCGTTGAAACTCAATGTAAGTCTAGTGAGCATGATAAAATTAAACCCCCTAAACAGTCCCAAATAAGTGTTGTAATGACAAGTTTTCAAAATCAATAAGCATCAAACAGTCGGAAAAAGTTCAACGACTTCCTAGATTGAACAGAAAACATAAAAGTGTATCTCTAGTCAGGTATTTCAACAAGATACAAACCCAAATCTGCAGGATGGAAAATCATTTCTGGAACAAGGAATCGTTCATTTGTTAAATCAAATTCCTGCAAGGAAAATGCAAAACTTTGAAAACCAGCAAAATTAAGGTGGAAAACATTCTTCTAGAATCAGAAAGCTCACATTTTTAGTTAAATCAACCCTCTTTCTATCCTCAAGCTTCTCTAAAACTTCAGACTGATGTGTAGCAGATTCTGAAGATGGAGGAGTTACACTAGTCAAAGTGAGGTATCTCTTTGCTTCATCTGGGTCCTTAACAAAACCCCTAGTGTGATTAATGCCATCGGGAAGAACATATGTAGAGCGGAAGAGATTATCCTTTCCACGTTTTCTATAAAAGGGTTCGCAAAATCTTAAGCGAATCAGTACAAGCAGCATCATATAGAACAAAACACCCATTTTATCATAAACTAGTAGTTTACGAATAACTACTCAACTGCCAAGGACAATATTTAACCAAATTCTTACAGAACTAAAGACAAAATGAGCGCAAAAGAATTATCAATTCACTAAAATAATCAGTCAAGAACAAATCTTTCTTCTCCAAATGCCAGAAAAGCAGCCAACCAAAAAAAGAAAAAAAGAAAAAAAAAAGAAATAGAATTATGTTGAAATTCATTACCTAGAAATCTGCAAATCTCGAGCAATATCAAGAGAAACAAAACAAAGTTTCTCCTTCACATCATCCATAAGAAAGCTCTCATCCATTACATTAACCGAGCGATAAGAAACCAGTTCCTTCAAATAATTAGTCAATGCTTTCCCGCCCAAGTCAATCCTCTTTACACCATAATTAAGAGTAAAGTTTTGAAAAACGGGAGCTGCATGAGTAAAAGAAAACCCACAATCAACCACCAGACTGCATTGAGTCTTAGATACCAATCCGTACGGCCTCCTACTCGCCTCGTAAAGATGAACGAGCTTAGGCGAATCAGCTATATACAAAGATTTAAAACCAAAATCTTCAAAAACAATCTCATCTGTGGCACGTTGAATTGAAGGAAGACAAAACAGAGGTTCCGTTAAAAGGAGAGAGGAATTTGAGGGAGTAATATGGAGAAGAGAAGAGAACAGGTGATTCCAAATGTCTCGTTGGAGGTCAGGGTTTATTAGGTAGCCACGGTCAATTGGACGGCGGACAGCGGCAGAGGTTAGATCTTCGGTTGCAGCAGCGGTTGTAGGAGATGGGTGAAGGAACTTTTTGGAGGAGAGAGGACGGTAGAGACAGTTGGGGATTACAGTGAGGGGATCACGTTCGCCGCCGTTACCAGCTTTTATAAAGCCACCACCATTGTCGAGGACGATGACGTTTGACATGTCGGAGAAAGGAGTTAGATGGGTGGTTGTTTGGAAGGAAGTACGGTGGGGCTTAATGGTGTGCATTTGGGGTTTTTGTTTATATATTAAATTAATTTAAGAAAAGAACAAAAATGGCGTTTTTACTGTTTGCAAATTAGAGCAGAAAGAGGCAAAATAGGTTGATAAGTTGCCTTCAGTTTCAGAAGCAAAAGATTAGAGGTGACTGTAATTTTCAAAGTAATTCTCATATATATATATATATATATATGTGTGTGTGTGTGTGTGTGTGTGTTTTTTTTTTTTGAGTTTGTTTGAAGGAAAATAAATTAAATTAAAAAATATCTATTTGGAAAAGACAGAAAATAAGATACTGAACAACTTTTACAAAAAGGGAATAAAAAAAAGGACTAAATTTCAAATATTAAAAACAAAAAAATCATTATTACCATATAATATAATGTAATTTAATGATTCTGAAAATAAATAAGATGTAGATTTGTGTGTGTGTGTGTGTGTTTTTTTTTTTTCATGTTGAGTTTTTGAAGGAAAATAAATTTAATAAAAAATATTATTTGGAAAAGACAGAAAATAAATACTGAACAACTTTTACAAAAAGGAATAAAAAAAAGACTAAATTCAATATTAAACAAAAAAATCAATTAATTACCATATAATAATAATGATAATTTATAGATTCTGAAAATAAATAAGGATGTGATTGTGCATTTAAATCTTCGGATACGAATGTAATTTTTATATTTTAACAAGGGCAAAGTAGTATTTGCTCACAAATTTACTGTTCACCTAGCAATTTCTTTGGCCTTGGTTTGGAAAGAGAGAAAGAGAAAGAGAAAGACGTTGGATTCAGCAACATTGCAAATATTAATTTGACCAAAGTTATCCATATTCCCGAAATTAGAAAGCCAAATAGTAAGATTCTCCACTTGCTAATCTTTCCTTGACAATAATTAATTTTTGTAATAAATAAACGTTTCTTTGAAAATGATTTTATTAAATTTTTAGTGCAATTTTAAATAAAATTTCAAACTATGTACCAAAAAAATAAAATAAAATTTCAAACTTTTAATTTTTTTATTAAATCATATCAATTATTTCTTTTATCTAAAGGGAAGAAATGCTCAACTGCCAAAATAGTGTAATTAACTAGTATTTTTCGTAGCCTTTCAAAAAAATAAAAAATACTAGTATTTTTCATAGTGTTTTCATTAGCTTTGCCGTCAAACGGCTAAACTATTCCTCAACGTGCCGACCGTTTATCCTCACAGAGTTAGTTAATATTGTTAATTCATACATAATTTAAATAAAAACTTGCAAGTTTGATTTTCCCTGCCCCGAACAAAGATTTGATGAATGGCCCCTCTCAAACTCTATCCAAAACAAAGCACTTGCTTACTTCAACAACAACCCAGTACATGTCTCTCTTAGAACACTATACAGCCACTAAATCCCTTACCAAGACTAAACAACTCCATGCCCACACCATTACTGCAGGCCTTTTATCCTCTCCTGAGTCTTCCCGGGTTCGCTCAAGCCTTGTTGTTGCCTATATGCATTGTCGGCATGTCCCTCACACCCGTAAACTGTTTGACGAATTGCCTGAACGAAATGCTTTCTTATACAATAACTTGATGACAATGTATGTCAATCTTGGCTTATATCTTGATGTAATAAAGGTTTTTGTTGAAATGCTTCAATCAGGGTATTGCTTACCGAATAACTATACATATCCAATTGTTGTTAAGGCTTGTAGTGAGCTATTGTTGCTTGATTTGGGCAGAGCGGTTCATGGGCGGACAGTGATGTCTGTTTTTGGTTCGCATAACTATGTGCAGAATTCGTTACTGGCAATGTATATGAATTGTGGGGAGATGGAGACAGCAAAGGAAGTTTTTAATTGTATGAGGGAGAGGTGTGTGGTTTCTTGGAATGCTATGATTAATGGCTATTTCAAAAATGGGTTTGCCCAATTATCTTTGATGGTTTTTAACCAAATGATTGATTTTGGAGTGGAGATTGATTGTGCTACTGTAGTTTGTGTTGCCAGCTTGTGGGTATTTGAGGGAATTGAAGATGGGAAAAAGGGTTCACGCATTAATAGAAGAGAAGGGTTTGGGTAAGAAAATATCGGTTAGGAATGCGTTGATTGATATGTATGCAAAATGTGGTAGCATGGATGAAGCAAGGTTGGTTTTTGATAGGATGGATGAAAGGGATGTGATTAGTTGGACAACCATGATCAATGGTTTCATTTTGAAGGGTGATGTGAGAAGTGCCTTGTCACTCGTTAGGATTATGCAGATTGAAGGAATAAGACCCAATTCAGTGACTATAGCCTCTCTCCTTTCAGCTTGTGCTAGTTTGAGGCATGGCCGTTGTTTTCATGGGTGGACAATAAGACACAATCTTGATTCACAAGTTATTGTGGAAACTTCATTGATTGATATATATGCAAGATGCAATCGCGTTGACCTTAGTTTTGGAGTATTTACAAGAAGTTCCACAAAGAAAACAGTTCAATGGAATTCATTGCTCTCTGGGTGTATTCATAATGGTCTTGCAGCTGAGGCAATAGGACTTTTCAAGCAAATGCTATTGAAAGGAATTGAATCAGATGGTGTAACATTGAAAAGCCTACTTCCTGCATATGCCATTCTTGCTGATTTGCAGCCAGCAAAAAATATACATTGTTACTTACTGAGTTCTGGGTTTCTTTCAGGAATAGAAGTAGCTACATGTTTGATCGATATATATTCGAAATGTGGAAGTCTAGAATCTGCCCACCGGATATTTAATGCCATCCCCTTACATGCCAAGGACATTTTTGTTTGGAGTGTAATAATAGCTGGTTATGGAATGCATGGCCATGGTGAAACTGCTGTTTCACTTTTCAGAAAAATGGTTCAGTCTGGGGTGGAACCAAATGAAGTTACCTTTACATCTGTATTGCATGCTTGCAGCCATTCTGGTTTGGTGGATGAGGGTTTGAATTTGTTTGAATTAATGCTCAAAGACCACAAGGTAGGTCCCCATGATGGTCACTACACTTGCATTATTGATCTGCTTGGTCGTGCTGGTCGATTGGATGAGGCATATAATCTGATCAGAACAATGCCTTTTATGCCGAGCCATGCTGTATGGGGTGCATTGCTTGGTGCATGTGTAATACATGGTGATGTTGAAGTGGGAGAGGTTGCAGCACAATGGCTTTTTGAGCTAGAGCCAGAGAACACAGGTAATTATGTACTCCTGGCAAAACTTTATGCTGCAGTTGGAAGATGGGAAGAGGCGGAAAATGTGAGACATATGATGAATGACATAGGATTAAGAAAAGCACCTGCCCACAGCCTAGTTGATGCCATAAATATATGAAATGGGAACAATGTTTGCAAATCAAATGGAAAACTTGTCAGCTTGCTAATGTTTACATGTAGAGATGAATGCTCCACCCAAACCCAGGATGAACACCCTAATAGAGGAGCATATGATCACCGTGATTGCCAATCATCTTATGTGATTGAATCAGAGGAATCACTGAGAAATGGATTCTTTAACCTCAAAATTTATGGAGAAGGAATACCAAGGTATCATTATCTATACTTTATATAAAAGTGGGAATGAAGAGGGATTAACCGGATTACTTATAATAACCTTAATGAAATTTTAAAAATCTTAAAATATCTTTTTGGATAATTGATAATAATTTGAGTTTATTAAATAACATGAGTTTTTAATATTTGATAAACTAAGATATTAAATCATTAATCAATTGACTTTTTTTAATAATTTTTTATTAATTGATTTAAAAAGTTTTTTATTATATTATTTTGATATTATTATTTTAACATATTATTCTAATTGAATTTTAACTATTAATTAATTAGGATATTAATTTTTCAAAAATAGATTATTATCCTAATTTTAAAATGAACTTTAAAATGTAAAAAAATAAAAAAAACATCGAAAAAAATTTTTTTTCACACGTTATATATATATATATATATATTTAAATGTAAAAAAATTAAAAAAAAACATCGAAAAAATTTTTTTTCACACGTTATATATATTATATATTATATATATATATTATATATATTCACTTTCTAAAATTTTTGAAATTTTTTCTTTTTATCACTTCTAAAATTTTGAAATTTTTTCTTTTTATATCTATTTATCTATGTATCTCAACGTTTAATCAAAGCAAAGCATGGAAATAATAGAATTTTTTGAAATATTTAATAAATTTCAAGATATCCTGAAATATCTTATAGCCGATCAAAAAAATTTAATTTAATATATATATATATATGCAATATTTTGAATAATTAATATATAAATAAATAACTATAAAACTTTCAATCTTTTGAATTTTAGAGATTTTTTCCTTAGTTTTTTAAAAATTGTATATTTTAAATTTTTTAAATACTATACACAAATAATATTTGAGTAATTTATAAATAAATAGATAACTATGACTTTTAAATTTTTTAATTTTAGAGTTTTTTTGTTAATTTTTTCTATACTTTTAACTTTTTGAATGGTGCACGCACGCATAAGAAATTTTAATAGTTTTTAGTTCACCTAATGAATATTTAAAATTTTATCTAATCAATTTTAATAAATATTTATTAGTTCATATAATCTATTCCATTTAATTTATTTATTTTAAATTATCCAAAAAATGTTTATTTAATTATATATTCTAAAATTGCAAATTAATAATAACATATTAAAGTTACTTAATGTAGTATATGTGTGTTTATTTAATATGTTATTCCTCTTTTGATCGTGTAAAAATAAATGGAACGCTAAAATCCTTTAAGAAATGGTAGATGTTAATTGAAGTCTAATCTTATCATTTTAAAAAAAAAATTGAAGTTTAATCTCGTTTCTTTTCTTTTATCTGGCAGTAAACAACAATTTATTATTATTTTTCCTTATAGTTGTATATAAATATTGATTTGGAGTTGAGGGTAGGGAATTGGGAATTGGGGATTGAGTGATGGTTTGATTTTATTTTTGGACACTTATCAGGGTTTTAAGAATCTGCATTTATATGAATTTTATTTTTGAGACCACTTCATTGTATGAAACTAGAATTAAGTACATAAGAAGTAGCATTACAAGTAGTTTGTATGGCAAAATTTAATACAAATTAACCAATTGTATTTATTTTAATCTAAACAAAAATTTATGTTTTAATATTATATAATTAAAAGAGTACAATAAAGACTATATATATATATGCGTATGCATATTAAGAATTTGCATTGTAGTCTAGATGGAAATTTAGAGCTTTTTTTTGCATTAAGGACTCATTTTTAGACTTGACCTGAATGTTTGTTTGTTTGCCTGTTCGTGTGTTAGTGAAGCACCTTGTATCTGTTTTCTCCTGTTTATGAATTTGAATACTTGGGGAATTTGCATGTTGCTTACCTAATAGAACATGATAATTTTTTCGAGTATATGGTCGTTTTCTGTTTTTTCCGTAGTGGTCAGATTGTTAACTTCGGTCAGTTTGGTTATCTTGTTCCTATTATGAATATTTTATCTTTATTTTGGTTTTATCTTGCTTTGCAGGGTGTTGCAAAGGTGGGCTGGCCATGTACTTCGTGTTGAACACATCATCTGGAGGTTCTTTTGCTTCCATTTTTAGCGAGCTTTTTAAACAAGATATTGAGTATGGTCCAATGCAGGGCTTTAATTTTGTTTGTCGCAGCTGGTACATTGCAAGAGGGCACTTGCTGTACTGTGTGAAGCACAACAGCCTGATACAGCTGCCATGTTCATACTTGCTTGCCGTGAAATCCATGGAGAAATAATTACTGATTTAGGAAATTTAGATGACCAATGGGGTTCTTCTTTCAATGATGCTATAATCAACTTACTTGGGTTGAGCCAGAGAATGAAGATGTTATTGCCGTTGGTGAATATTTTAGACAGTATCAAACAAAATCGGTTCATTTGTGCATTGTTTTGTTTGAAATGCAAAATATATAACATATGTGAAATTACAAATGAAACAAAATATACACACACACATTATATATAACAAATGAAACAAAATATACACAACACACATAATATATATATACTATATATATTTATATAATATCTGTTGAGACCGTAACCATAGGCTCAAACAGTTAGGCCAAACTAGGCTTTATGTATGTTGAGGGAAAAAAAAAATTTCAGAGTTTCAATGTTTAAACACATAATTTCCCTTCCTATATATATATATATATATATATATCTGTTGAACGGTAACATAGGCTCAAACAGTAGGCCAAACTAGGCTTTATGTATGTGAGGGAAAAAAAAATTTCAGATTCAATGTTTAAACACATAATTTCCTTCGTTTATTATGGAAGTGTAATAAATATTCAATTTTATTGTATTTAGCTAAGCTCACTCCAACTTGAATTTTGACTTGACCGTCCTATGAATATTTGAGTTATTTAAATTCATATATTAGCATGTGAGGTTTTATTATGGAAAAGACATATATTATATATTAATATTTAACATTTACGAGAATTAATGGGAAACGGTCAAAAACAAAGGGACTGGACCAGCTTATGCATTCCAGTTTATCATCAAAAAGACAAAAACCAGCATGACTTTGAATTAAATTGTGATGAACAGTGAAGATATTGGAATTTAAAATTGAAACTTCAAAATAAGAAAAGAAAATATAATTAAGAAAGAACAATCGGTGATGTTGACTTGTTCAAATACGAAATGTTTTGACTTTCTTAGTTAGTCCTAAGCTAACAATGAAAGTTTCACTCCCAATTTGCCAATTTAATATTGAAGCATCAATCGCAAAAACCTCCTACAAATACTTTAATAAAAAACTATAGGCTAAGAAGAGCAAGAAATATGCACAGAACAGTTTTTATTAGTGAACAAAAATATATGGCAAAAAGATAAAAAGCCAAATGCCAATCAAACATTACAGCATAAGATTCCGAAATCTTTTACAGTCTCTCATCACCTGAAAATGCAAGTTATTACATGGAGAACATTAATGGAAAACAATATTCACATATATTTTAAAAGGATAATCTGTGGAAAAGGGTTGGGAAATAAGCATATATGATACTAATGTGCATCATAGTAAGAAGCAGAATATAATTTAGATAAGCAACTTCAGTAAGGTGTATAGTAGTAACCTCCTGGCTGTCCCACACCACTGACCTGGGGCGTCCCATAAGGCATCACCATTGATTGGGGATTGGGGCCATAGTAACCAGAGGCACCATTACTCTTGGATAAACCCATTTGGCCTTGCATCCCGTCTCTTCCATATTGTTGCCATAGCTGCTGTTCCTGAACTAGCAACTGCTGCTTCCTCTCTATCTCTGCCATCTGTACATATGAGGGAGGTGGAACTGCAAGAGATGCGGCAAATGGGTCCTGATTTCCAACTGGCTGGACTGTCCCATCAGGGGCAGGTAATGCCAAAACTGGAGTCGCACTCTTTCCTTGACCAGGCAATGCTACACTACTTGCACTTCCACCACTCAATTGAGTAGTGCCCACATGTTGCCTGACTGCCCCTTGATCATACATTCCATTCAATAGCAGTGAATCCATGCCACCTGCTAAATTAGCTTTCTGCTTTGATAGATTACTGGCTGATTCCACCAATGCTAATTCCCAATCTGCTTTCCCACTCTCAGCAGCTGGTGTCTGCCATGCTGAAGTAACTTCAGCCTTTCCATTTGATGGGAATGCTTCCCATCCACCGTTAGTATTTACAGCTGCCGGTCCAGAGAACAAGGCCAAAGCCAATTTGTCTCCCTGCTCATCAGCTGAAACTGCATCATCTTTCAAATTAACTAAATCCTCTGTCGCCTTTGGCGGTTGGGGCTTGGGCTCTGGCTCAGGAGGAGATGGAGGGGTATAGTTTTCAGGTGGAGGAAGAGCTTTGACCTCATTGATATCTGGTTCAGGCTCTTGCTTAATTGGAACCTTCTCCTCCTCCTTAATTATCTCAGGATTCTTAGATGGTCTATTAGTCATTTCTTTTAAAAATCCCTCAAGTGTCCCTAGTAACTGATCAGTAATTTTCTTGACAGCAGGGAACTCAGATGATCTTGCAATCCCAATATCCTTACACCAACCATAAAACCCAACAAGCTCATCTATCATCTTCGCTGCAGCAACATACATATCAAAACCCTTAACACAATCTGAATACTCCATCTCAGTAAATCTATCCAACAACACCCCCAGTGCCTCACATATATCAATATATAACTCAAAACTCTCCTTCACAATTCCATAAAGAGAGGTGAGCACCAACCTATTATTCTTAGCCATGCCTGTTGGCCTGCAAGCCAAAACTCTATCAAGCATCCTCAATAATTGGTTCAATTTGTCAAGAACCTGCTCTGGCTTCATTTCTCTAATTGGTGTAGCTTGTTTCCTCTGTTCCCTCCCAGCAGAATCATCATTCACATCACCATAAGACCTGGATTTCCTACCCGTCCTATAATCAAAATCATCGCCCTCATCAAATTTCCTCTGATTAGCACTCAATTTTCTTTCAGAAGCCCCAAATTCAACTTTCTCATCAAGATACATAGCATAAAATCTAACGAAGGCAGCATAATCCCATGAATGCGAGTGTGCTTCATCTCTAAAATCCGACATATTCAGAACACGCATTCCTCTTCTAGAGGCATACAGAATTTCCTCTTCAAATGAAGGATGTCCATCAATAAGAAGCCTGTGAGCAAGCATCAAAGCCTTAATAGCCACAATCCAATCATGCGTTTTACTTAAGCGTTTAGACACAGTAGCTACACAAGCACTAACATAACCTCTGGAATAAGAAGTAAGATTTATAATTTCTCTTAAATGCTTATCATCAGCAGGTTCTTCATCATGACTAGTGGCTTTAACAACCAAAACTTCAAGGTCAGGCGCTATGTTGCCTGCAACTTTAGCTATGCTTATACTCGTTTGATCTTTTACCGCTCCGATTGCTTTACGGATGGTGCTTGGTGCCATTTCTAGGATATTTGCTCAAAGTGTTTGATATAAAGAAAAAAGATAGTACCGTTGTTATGTTGTAACTGATATATCAACGGCAGCGGAGATTGGGAGATCAATTAGTCGGATGTGGAGGCGGAGATGGAAGAGTAGATGATCGGAGAAGAAGAGGAGAGCGACTTTCGATCTGAGAATCCAAAGGAGAAAGGTCACTGTAGTAGAAATGTGTACGTGACAATGTCTTTCATTTGCTTTTTGAGCTCTCTCTCCGCGTGGTCGGGCAGAGCAAGCAGATTGAAAAAGCGCGTAACGCACGGGAAGCCCAATTCCTTACAAGAGAAAGGTGTGAATAACGTCGTCGTTTTTATTTGTATTAATTTCTTACGTGTCAAGTATCAATTAGTAAGAGTTAAAGAATTACCTTTTTTTTTTTTTTTCCTGAAAGAATTACCCTTCTTTTCTTTGGTAGCAAATGGTGTCACGTTAAAAGCGCCAATGGCTTAATCAAAATAAAATAAAAACAAATTTTCCTATAAACAAAAAAAGAAAGAAAACAAATTTACTGCAGGTTCTGATTGTTTCGGGGAAAAAATTAATTTGTCGGAAAAATATTTTTGGATATTTACGAAGATCAGTCACTAGAAAATATTGTCCTTATCAAAATGGAAATTAAACGATATTAAAAAGGAAAATAACTTTTTCATATTTTAAAAAAATATATATTTTTCTAGATATTAGTAAATTTATTATAATATTATAAACACATTCAGTTATCACTACCAACCACTAGTTACCATTAGTGACCACTACCATCGGTCTCAAATAACAGAAAAATATTTTTTAAGTATAACAAGAGCTAAATATAAAATTTAAGAGTACTAAGATTTCAATATGGTTTGACTTAATAAAAGAAAAAAAATTTATGAGCCCACTAATTCTACTAAATTATTATTTAAAAATTTTAACTCCTATGTCAAAAAAAATCCTAATTATATATCCCTGCCCTATGCAAACTAGCATACTCCCTTCCTTAGGGAGCATTTGGTTGGTGATTTATGCAAGCTTATAATTGATTCATATCCAACAACTAAATTTTAGGTGTTTGACGAGCTTTTTAATCAATAGATGTTAACGGCGCAAATAGAGTTTCAATTTGCTACCAATTTCATAAATTATATTTTAAAGTTTTTTCATATTAGCTCATAGTTGATTTGTATTTATAGTGAATTTATACTTCATTGATCTTATAAAAATAATTATTAAAATATTTTTTATAAATTAATATTTTTATAATCGTTATTTTATAACTATTTAAAGATAAAAAATTTTATTAAATAGTATTTTAGAAAATTTAATTAATATTTTACTATTTAAAGATAAAAAATTTTATTAAATAGTATTTTAGAAAATTTTAATTAATATTTATTTATATAATACGTTAATTACATAAAAAATGATATATTCACTAAATTAATATATATATATATATATATATCGCACTTCTAAAATCTAGTCAAATATCAGCACTTCTAAATCTAGTCAAAATCCCACAAAATTTGAGTTTGGCTGTATTAGAGTTGAGTGCATACCCATCGGATTGAGTTGTTTTTTCATCCCTAATTTTAATTATATACTAAAATATTTTAAAAATAAATATAAAATATATTTATTTTTATCTCAATAATAACCTATTATGTTTTTTATTATCTTTTAAAAATATAGATGATACACCATATTAGAACAAAAAAATAAACATTATATAAATAAATTAAATTATAAAATATAAAACTAAATATAATGCAGTTAATAACAAGTAAATTACAATAAATATCAACATGCAACACATGTTAATTAGAACTAGCATATATAAAAGTACGAGAATGGGGAATTTTGGGATTGCAAAAAATACCTATATTAATATCATTAAGTATTTTAATTTTACTAGTTGAAAAATAATGGTAATTTAATTTTGATTGATTCTATTAATTTACTATTTAAATTTAAATTCTATTGAATAAAATTAAGAAATTATATTTATAAACTATATAAGATATATAGTAAATAGTATAATATATAATTTATTTTTTATGATGTTACATTCATCAATTGAGAAAATAAAAGTAATTTAATTTTATATACTATATAAGATATATATTAAATAGTATAATATATAATATTTTTATGATTTTAATTCATCAATTGAGAAAATAAAAGTAATTTAATTTTAATTGGCTATATTAATTTTCTATTTAAATATAAATTTTATTGCATAAAGTAAGAAATTATATTTAACATTAAGGTATATATTCAATCTGACAAAATTAGAAATTATATAATAATATTAAATATAACAAGAAGATAAGAGTTCAATTCGATAGAATAAAAAATTATGTCATATATATATGTTATGTTTAAATATGGTAGAAATATAAAAATATAAATTGATTTGTTGGTAATATTTAAGTTGAACAAGTAATTACACAATGAAAATTTGGTAAAATAATTATGTTTAAATAATAAAAGTTCATCTTTCTTATTATGCCATTAAATATTTTCGTTATTTTTTAATTTGTTATAGCACTTATAGTATAATTTTTAATTTGACTCGTTTTAAATAAACAAATTATAAAAGACATTTCACCGGCAGCTTCCTAATATTAATTATTAAATTATCATATTGCGTAAAAAGTTAATTATTTTATATTAATTTAAGTTACTAAAACATTTAAAAACCGTTCAAGTAAATCATTAACAAAATAATTAAATAGTAAATGGTAAATTAATATCTACAACTAACCTATGCTAGTCAACTCTTATATTGGTCAATTCTAGAAAATAATAAATGCAATTCAATTAGATAATTAAAAAAAATCAATCCTTATTATTTAAATTTGTTATTGTACTCCAATATCAAAACATAAGATTATGAACAATATCGTAATTATTAATTATTTATGAATTATAATTATAACTCAATTGAAAATCTCATTAAATTACCAGTTTATTATAAATTATCAATATATATATTTAACTCTTATAGGAAAAAAATCATCATAAAAAAATATTTTTATTATTATTTTACTTCAATTACTTTTCTTATTGTTTTACTTCTTAATCTTAGACGAATTATTGTTTTAGAGTTATTGTTATTTTCATTTTTCCACCTTGTTTGAACAATTTTTTTTTTTCTTTCCATTTCATAATTGTTTTATAACATTCATTTTGTATACGTAAACGATAATAATCTTTACACTAAAATATTAAATAATAAGCACCGGTATTTATTTATTTTTTCTAAATAAGGTATTATCATTTTATTATATCTTAAAAGAACCGATCAACACATATTTAAAAAACGAAAAAATGAGTAACTATAACGAGTACTAACACTCATTACGTGTGTTAGACACTAGTTATATAAATATAGAAACGAGAAAGAATGAGTTCACTAAATGATATAATATCAATAATAGTAGTTATAGGAGAAAGTAACGATCGTATAGATCTGAAAATTTATTTTCTTATTTCTAGTAATATTAATTGCATTGATATTTTTATTGTAATAATGGCATGTTTTTTTATTTTTTAAGATTTTCATTAATGTATTAAGATTTTCTTCTATTTTTATCTATTTTTGACATATTAATAAAAACTTGACAATTATGTTTTTAAGTCCTATAAAATCATCTATTTTGAGTACTCATTTCACCATCTTTCCTCCTTCCTTTGTTTAGCTTTCCATTGAAGAAAAAAATAATATGGGTTTTGCTATAGCAAAAACTCTTATTTTAATGCAACTTTCACTGTTATGCTTCATTGCGCTTAGCGATGAAGAAATAGAACCAGTGTCAGTATTACACCATCACAACAATCAACACCGTAGTCTAGCTCCTACTCCAGTCGATGATCACCATCACCACCACCATCACCTTGGTCCAGCTCCAGCTCCAGCTCACCACCACCACCACCACCACCATGGTCCAACTCCAGCTCATGCACCAATCCATCCACCAAAACTGCATCCACACCCACCTGTTTACTTTCCACCAACTCTAGCTCATGGTTACCACCACCATGGTCCAGCGTCAGCTCCGACTCATCACCACCACCACCACCATAGTCCAGATTCAGCTCCAGCTCCAGCTCCAGCTCATCACCATCACCATGGTCGAGCTCCAGCTCATGCACCCATCCACCCTCCAAGGCGGCATTCACTCTTTCCGCCCGAGCAATCACTAGATATTACAGTGCAAGAATAAATAAAAAAGACAAAATATGAATGTTTGATGTATGAATAGATGCAGAGGACAAAAGAAAATCATTATAAAAAATTATTCGTACTCGAAACATGGATAAATTAATTAAATAAAAAGAAAGTTGATTCAAATAATGATTATTAATTAATGTCCCTCTACTTCTTTTTTTTTTTTTTTTTTTTTTTAATAATGATTATTAATTAATGTCCCTCTACTTCTTTTTTTTTTTTTTTTTTTTTTTGAAATATCCTCCAAAAACTAGTCTTAATTAACTAAGGAAGCATCGTGATTTTTTCCTTGCAAATTTTTTTTTTTTTTTTTTTTTTTGAAAATATCCTCCAAAAACTAGTCTCTAATTAACTAAGGAAGGCATCGTGATTTTTCCTTGCAAAATCGCTTACCTAAGTGTATCTATAAATTATGTCTTAACTGCTAAACTATGTCTAGGTACATGTAATATTACTTTTACCTTTCACGCTTATAAAACGGCCCAAAGCAAAAGAAAAAATCACATTTAATCTCCCAATTCTAATATAGGTAATTTGCAAACTTTTTTTTTTCAGAAGAAAAATTAGCATTCATTAAAGATTTGCAAACGTGGCCTCAGCCAAAACAGAGTTCGAAACAAAGGGAGGGCAATCCTCAACCCAAATTTGCTCAGCAACTTCAACAGTCAGAACTTGCTTAGCCAAATTATGCGCTACAGCACTAAGACTCCCTAACAGCATAAACACAATTAAAATTATCAAAACCTTCCGCCAGTTCTTTCACTCTTAGCAATCGTGTTTGCATCTCAGTGACTGGGTAAGTATCCACTATGAGCTAACTAACTTGGCCTTTATAAATCAGTTTCCATCATGATTCTTCTGAACCCCATCTCGCCGGCACATTGCTCAGCCCAGCACAAAGCTTCAAGTTCAGCTTCATCCACTGACAAAGAAGCAGAGACTCTTCTCATCCCCACTGCCGTTACCTGACCAGAGCTATCCCGCACTAAGAAGCCCATTCCAATAGTGCCATGCATTCCCATCGCTGCGTCTGTGTTA